TATCATGGCTGTTTCCACAGCCTTTTTGATATGATTCCAACCTGCTTCAGGATGGGAATCACTTGCATGGCCGCCTAACTGTTTTTCTAATTCCTCCTGAAATATTTTCTTAGCTTGATTATCATCAAGTAAAGCCCTAAGAGGCTTCCTTACGGTGTCTTTCCTACGTCCAGCAAGCCTCAAACAAATACGTGCTCGCAATAGGGCATGATCTGAATCTAAACATGTGCCCCAGAACGAGCGACAGTCCTCTATCGAACCCCTCCATCGGTGGCTGATGGCGTTATGATCTAGTTGTGTCCAACGTTGAGACGACTTCGGGGGTCGCCAGGTCAAAAGGTGTTTTTCCTTATGCTTAAAATTAGTGTTTGCTAGAAATAGTTGGTTATCTGAGCACAGTTGCAACAGACGGTCTCCATTGTCTGTTCTTTGAGCCGGGAGACCGTAACATCCACCTAGGTGTCTTTCATTTTCACTTAGTCTACCTACTTGTGCATTGAAGTCACCAGCCATTATTACTATATCAGAGCGCTTAACTTTTTGGAGAAGGTCCGAAAGCTTTCTGTAAAACTCATCTTTTACATCATCTGGGCTGCAGTCAGTGGGGGCGTAGGCTGATATGACGAAGTGGCAACGGCGAGTGTCCCTATCTTTCCGAGTCCTTACTGTCCCGTTGAGTCGGACGGCGCACAAGCGACTATCTACAGGGATCCAGTCAAGGAGAGATTGTTCTGCCCTACGACTCGATGCTATACCTACACCGGCGAGGCCCCTGGAAGCAGCATCAGGGCTACCGGATACACGAAGGGTAAATCGAGCTGCTTCTTTATCTTGACATGGTGAGGTCAAATGAGTGATGCTACTCGGATCCTGTATGCGCGTTTCCGAGACGCAGCACACATCGATGGAACGAGATTCTAAAGTCCTAGCTAATGATGCCTGTTGCCCTATTTGACACAATGTCCGTACATTGAATGCTCCAACATGTAGTTTGGAACGGGGTTTAAGGAGACCAGGAACGACGTTTCGCAAACTCGCATCGTTTGCATTAGCTGTGCACTGTAATAAATGAATGTGAGAAGAGTTAGTTGTGGATATAAGAGAGGTATTAGGTAATGTAGGAAGGATTTGATTTTGACCAATTTGGTCTCGTGTGCTGTTGCGGGTATGAGGGCGGTTATCACTTCCCGGCTGCCCACACCATGGAAGGTTGTTTCTTGACGAACCTGAAAAGGAAGATGGATTAGTGTTGGTGCGTGACCGCAGAGTCCAAGGGACAACTGCTTGAGGCCGGTCACGCACGGCCTTTTTATGAGAGGTATTTAGAGGATTAGCTCCGTTCTTAAAGGCCCTTAGTGGGCACCCTTACCCAAGGAGACGGAAATCCGTGAGTTAGGGGAGGTGTGACATTTTTAGGGCCGACCTTTTCTAACCCTTCCTTCCTTGTGAGAAGGCAGCATCGCCGCAGATGCTGGTTGTCCGAGGGAAACACCTTACTGCTGTCACACCCCTCTGCAGTCAGCAGTACGACTTCGCCCTCAGACCTTGGGTAGCTGCTTTAAGTCTCATCGTTCTCCAATCGACCTGCCTGGCATGGTAGGACCTGCAGGAACATGTGTTCCAGCCAGTATAGCTCGGTTGGGTCATCACGATAGGCAAGCCCGACCACCACGTCAAGGTAGCAGCTTCGGTCGGGAATTAAATGCTACGAATATGATATTTGTATTCAAAAATAGAAGTTAACTTTCTATTTTTTCTCTGTTGTAAACGCGGCTACGTAAATCTTCAGTCCTAACGGCGTCCAATTCAAATATCACAAAACGACCCAAAAGGCTTTTCCAAATCTCCTAGAAATCAGAACGTAACACCGTGGAAGGAAGATGTTTATTGGGTCGAAAACAGAAGAAGTAGGCAGGGGAAACGGAATTATTAAGTCTTCCAGATAGCGCGTATTTATACACTAAGGTCGACTGAGAAAAAGCATCAACGTCCGTGACATTGACAATTTAGGACGACCAATAGAAAATAACATTTGAATGACATTGACCGTCCAGATGACCAATAAGAGGTAACATTGAAGTATTTGACCCTGACGGTAAGAACGATCATAATTTCGGCCAATAGAAATCGACCAATAAGATTGCACTTCTAAAAATAGTATTCTTAGGATATTTGGTGAATATCCTAACACCTCCCTCTGGAAGAAAAAAAAGAAAAAATACATAACAGCGACGCAGCCGAGGGTTTACTTGAAATCATTTGATTTTCTTCGCTTGCGTTTCGACCACCTCGGAGATAAAATCCCTGGAGCTGTAGGATGTTCTGTTTGAGTAGATGACTCGATAGTTTCTGGTGGAGGTATTGGCGGAACTTGATAAGTATCCAACAGCAAACAGAGTGGGAGGCGCTTCGTAATTTTACCTTTCTCTTTATCTCCCCCTGGCCTTAGTTGATCACGAGGTCTTTTGGTATTTGGAAGGCTTTTCATGATATCCTTATCATTTACTAGCTTCACTTCGACGCTTGAAGATTTACAAGAAAGAATGGAGTCACGTGAATATCTTTGTCTGTTTATTGTATCATGTTTTTCTCCATCACCCCAGTCTGCTTTATCTTGGGACTTGACATGCATGGTGACGTCACACAAGTTACCTGAGATCACATTTTCTTCAGGCATGGCAACTGGCTGCAGTCCGATACCAGGCTGAAGCGGTTCAGTGAGTCGTTTTTGAAAATCTGCAGCATGCTGTGTAACGGCAGGAGTTTTTACTTGATTGCAGACAGTATTGATGGGAAGATCAGCGAGACCAAGTTTTTCGAACCAATCTAACCCCAGAAGGTTGTGAGGAGACTTGCTGATATAGCATGTTCCATTGAAGGTTGTATCTCTGAACGAAACACAGCAATCAAGTTTACCACGAAGACGAAGGTGACCCCCACAGGCACTGACAACTATCTGCGATGATGGTTTGATGCGTGGTTGACCCAAGGTTCGCCAAGTCTCTTCTGACAGAATAGTGATATCTGATGCAGTATCCAACTGCATTCGAACCAGCTGACCATTGATCGAGAGGGTCAGAAATTTGCGTCGAGTAGAAGCATCGGTGTGAAAGGCTGCTGCTAAACTCCTAGATGCAGCAAACGGCTTTCTGGGATAACGGCGCTGCGACTGTGAATTTCGCCGGCCAGTGAATCGGGTTGATTGGCAAAAACCGCTTTTATGACCAATTTTCTGACAGCGATTGCACACATGCTGCTTGAATGGACAAAATTTCACGTAATGCCAGTCTCCACAGTGCCAACATGGTGAGGGAGGCTTCTTATGCGCTGATTTTGAGTGATTAGAATCAGAACTGGCATTCGAACGACCAAAGGTTTTCGATCTAGAAGATTTGTTCTGCTGCTGAACAACGTGAACTTCGTAACCACCCTGGCTCCCAGATTGAACCAAAGTGGTGTCACACTGTAAGTTGGTGATGCGTTGGTACTCATCAGCGATAGCATCGAGTGTCAGTGTTGGGTCTTGTTCGAGGCGGTTAAGCAATCGAGTTCTGATGTCGGAGAATTTGGGTGATTGTAGACTGCATATGAATATGAGTGATTTGAATTGGTCATCAGTAAGGGATCTGTGTTTGAACCGTTCACACTCGCGGTTGACAATACCAACATGAGTCAAGAAGTCATCGGACTCATTCATGACTAGCTTTAAACAACGATAACGTGTATTGAAAATAGAATGCTGATCCCCAAAAAGTTTGCTGAGGGACTGAACCGTAGCATCGAATGATCTGTCACGTGGGTTCTGCGGTAGGATGTAGTTGCGATACTTGTCCAGTTCTGACGGACCAAGTTTTCGAAGGAGAAGACGCACCTTCCAGGAATCATCTTTGTCAGCAAAATCAACTTTGAAAAGATCTTCATAACGCATGAACCAAGTATCAGATGTAATATTGGCGTCAGGATCATACAGAAACTCAGAAATACTACTGGTCATACCATCAACTGACTGAGGAATTGTTGGTGTAGATGAGACTTGAGAAGAGATGTGCGTCTGAGTAAGCATCTCCATCAGCTTCAGCTGCTGTGCAAACAATTTTTCTAATGTAGCTGGATCCATAATTAGTCACCAACCCGTCGCCAAATTTGTTGTAAACGCGGCTACGTAAATCTTCAGTCCTAACGGCGTCCAATTCAAATATCACAAAACGACCCAAAAGGCTTTTCCAAATCTCCTAGAAATCAGAACGTAACACCGTGGAAGGAAGATGTTTATTGGGTCGAAAACAGAAGAAGTAGGCAGGGGAAACGGAATTATTAAGTCTTCCAGATAGCGCGTATTTATACACTAAGGTCGACTGAGAAAAAGCATCAACGTCCGTGACATTGACAATTTAGGACGACCAATAGAAAATAACATTTGAATGACATTGACCGTCCAGATGACCAATAAGAGGTAACATTGAAGTATTTGACCCTGACGGTAAGAACGATCATAATTTCGGCCAATAGAAATCGACCAATAAGATTGCACTTCTAAAAATAGTATTCTTAGGATATTTGGTGAATATCCTAACATTCTCCTTGCGACTTATAATCTAGTGAGTCCAACACATCTTTCTAGTTGTCTTCTCGATGTTTGTTGCATGACTTAGTAAGATGATGGTAATTTTTTTAGATTTATCACCTCAATCATTCTTAAAAATCCTGTTAAAACCCTAATTATTGACTTCATTAACATCCCAAACAGCTTGTTCGTTATTAAGAGATAATTCAGCTGATTCAAATAATAACTGAATCTGTTAGTTTGTGTGTAGCTGACGAGAGTAATAAAGTGCGATGACTTACCTTATTATGCAAATATTATCATATTTATTTTGTTGAAATTTTTTAAGGAAATTATTTATGTGTAAATGTTTATCACACTTCTCTAGAGATTTGCCTTAGAATTGATCTGCTCTTAGTTCCGTAATAATCTCAACGTCGAATTTACAACCGAACTCATGTCTCTTCTGAAAGACAGGAAAATTGAGGCTGCACAAACTTATCCTGTTGAGCAATCTATAATTCAAGCCTGGGAGCGTCAACAGGATGTTCATTTAATCAATCCTCATTTTGATATGTTAGATAGTTGGTCTTCAGATGGTGGTAGCATTTCCTCATCTTCCTCTTGCTTTTCTGATGATCACTGTATGGACTCTGAAAATCTAACTCTACCATCTATACCTTTAAGTGGATTAACAGAAGAAAAACATTTCAATTCTTTCAAGAATACACGTAGGCTTTCACATGATCAAAAGAATCCGCTTCATTACTTGAAGTACGTTTATTTATCTCGTTCGGTTTTATTAAAAGAACTAATATCCATCATAATAAATTCACAGATTTTGTATCGAAGTATACTCTTCACTGTAGCTAGTCAGGAATACGAACCACACCTATCTAAAGAGGTGCAATTCACGGACAATGTTTCGTTGCCAGAAAGTCAATACTTCTTGAATGGTACTCGCCTAATGATAAAATTATTTCTTTTAGTTGGTAATCATGTATACACAAAAAACCACAAACCACTAAAAACTGTAATGAATCAGCAAAACTTCAAGGATTTATTAGCCCTTGAATCATATCATGGCGACGCTTGAATATTTCCGTAGTTTGTTGAGGTTTGTTCACTATACTGATATGTCAAGGCTAATCAATAAAGAGCTCTTTTTTGTAGTTCTGTTCTTACACAAAGATAAATTAAAGAGCGTTAAAACTTAAAGCATAGTATGAGTTACCGCACCAACTTTTCATCTCAAGTAACCAAAGTTACAAATGATACTGCCGTGAAATATTATGGAAGGTCCTCAAATAAGTTCACGCTAACCTACCAAACATTCCTATTAGGTAGGTGGCGAATACTTAAAAAAACTCAAAATACAACAAGACCACGTATTTGAGAATTATATGCAGTCCCAACCAAATGCTCCTCAAAAGTTGATTACGATAACAAGATTCCATAGGGAAAACATGCGTAAATAGTATTCAATCTGGCAAGAACTAAATCAATAGGAAGAGTATCAGTGAAAAACAAACAAAGAAACTAAAAAAATAGAAATAAACTGTCGTAGACTATTTTATCTCCCATTGCTTTCTTCTCTTACCAAGATTTATCTTATCATTTTTGTCGCTAACCTGATATCATCATTAATCTTATGCTAAACATATCATCCATCTTTATATGCAAGTGTAGTGTACGTTTATGGAATCTTTATGACATCCGTCTACGTTAACGTACAGCTTTTCCTAAAATTTGTAGGCTGAAGTTGTTATACTTTGTTACAACAACAAAATGAGGACTAAAGAATAAAACCGAAGAAAATAAAAAAAAATCACGTAAGTTCATAAAGACTAGTAAATAAAAAGTAATAAGATGATTATAATTCGAAATAAAACATTAATAGATCAATCTGCTTCGTTATCACCTATGTGATTGTAATTCTATACACATCTGGTTTATTACATACTGTTTAAGCTATGTTTTGTAATTAATCTTTATCTGAGAGTTTATTATTGATTTTGAGGGTCTTCAATATTTAATCTGACTCCAACATATGTGTTAAATCTTTAATTACTACCTGATTTTCATCCTGATACGTTCTAATGTGAGTCTGGTTAATATCTTTATTTTTTAGAAACTGATGATAAACTTATATTTTCAAACAAATAACCTATCTGATTCAATTACGATTTCCTTAGCTTTTTGATTATCAATGCTGTTTCATTTTTGATATATATGTATATTTCAGTGCCGCTAAAGTCATGGTTTTTTCAGATTCACGTAGTGAAACAATTATATACTCCTGATAAAATATGTGCGTTTATTGGTGGTTGATGGTCAGATGTGCAAGTAGATGGTCTATTTGTAGATATAGATTAGTCGAATGAAATGTAAATCATACACTTCGTTAATTGAATGCTCGTTTTCCAATGTATTTTCTTTAAACAGATCTGCTGGTGTCTACACTAGTAAAGAAGTTATTGACCAGGCTATAAACCGTTGGGAGTCGTATAAGAATTTATGTCATCAAGCCCTTTACATTTTAAGACAACAGCTTGTTGACGCCTATATTCCTTATGCCATAGAGGAGAGTAAGGCTAGTCCAACCAAGCCAGCCTTCAATGAGACAGGTACGTTGATGTTTAATCCCTACTGTTTTCCATTTGCGAAAGTGCAATCAAAAAATGATTAACTGTAGATTGCAAAATGCTTTCTGTCACACCATAAAACCATAGAAGATCTATATTAAAAGTGTGCAATACTAGAAAATTGCACATCATCAATCCAAAACTTCATCGAAGGGTTAATTGTGTATTAAGAATATTGGTTGAGGGAAACGGTTCAGATAACTTGAAGGTTCCGGGAAATTCACAAAACTTTTACTCGAAGAATGAATGTCTCAATCAATCAGTTATTCAATCAACAGCAACGTAGAACTTCGTACGTACGTACATCAGTTCATGTTGCCATACCACATTAGCACGGAGACGCAACTGTCAGTTCAAATCCAATAGTAGTAGAGGTAGTAAAGGTATTAGCAGTAAGCGGAGAGGTTAGAATTTGAAGATATTATTCAAGAAGTATGGTTTATTGAGAAAGGTTTAGAAAGTCAAAACTAGAGTTGTTGAAGAATCCATAAGATTAGGATTTGAGAAAACACAAAGAATGAATGCACCTGCGCCATTGCAAACAGTTTTGAGCCATGTCATTCAGGGTCTCTAACCATCGTTGACTGTCATCTCACGGGCACCTACCAACATGACTCTGTCCACTTGTCAGTAACTTCATGGATTTGTGCCATTTTTGGTTTGGCCGCTCCTAGGTTTCTTCCAACCTACTCCTACACCACAGAACATAGCTCGTCGAGGCAGTCAGTGGTTGGTATACGCAACACATGTCCCAGCCACCTCAACTAAGGAAGTTTCAATACTCCGTCTATTGACCTGCCATCCTTAGCTAGCACCCGTTTCCTAACAACAGCATTACTTACTCGGGTGTCTCACGATACTCGAGCAATGTTTCGGAGACGCCTATGATCGAAAACCAGTAACCTACGAATATCTTCTACTCTGACAGGCCATGTTTCACAGCCATAAAGTAGGACGAAGAGAACTGCTGCGCAGTACACTCGTCCTTTAGTCAGCAAACGGATATCTCGCCTACTCCATAAGTGACGCAAGTTGGCAAAAGTCAATCGAGCTTCCTGTGTCCATGCTGAGATTTTGTCAGTCACGAGGCCATCGGCACTGATGAGACTTCACCCCATATCTCTAGTTCAGGTGCCTATATAAGACAATCTTGAAGCAGGATTTTGCATTTTGACGGGGAGAATCGCATCCCGAACACGTTTGCGTTGTTGCCCAAGGTGGTCAGAAGATTAAATTTTATCAGTGTTTTCACCAAGTAGAGCAATGTCGTTGGCATGCTCTAAGTGAACGAGCAAGTTTCGCGGTAGAAGACGAAGACAATGTTATATCTAGGTGCTTGTCTATGACAAAGTTAAACAAGAATGGTGAAAGTGAACAATCCTGACGGACAGGAATCATGGGTTTACGTTCAGTTCCCAAATTCTGCATAAGATCTCAGTCAATCTAGCTGCTAAATCTTGACCACCATCCTTGAAAATCTTATTGGTCAATCTATCAGGACCCGCTGCTCTTCCTTAGTACAGGCGATTGGATCGTTGAACAGAACACTTTAGGGAACAATGCAACTAGCCTCCAGCCACAGTATCTCTAAACACTATCTTAATGAGGAATTGATATAAATTCTCCCACTCTTAATGAAATTGAAAGGCTTTAGGCAATATAAAGCGGGTGAGAGAATCATGGCCTGACGAATTAACCGCTTGGGCCCATGTGCACCATTGTTTTGGAATCAGGGCTTCCCAGTCCTATCCAGTTGAGTCCTTCTTACCCATCCAGGAACATTGCTAGCATGTTTGTGATGTGGAACTCTCCCTCCAAATACATAATTTTTCAGGATTTGCTTGCGTTGGCACCTGAACTAGTGATAGGGAGTAACGTAGTTGAGCGTGTCGACCGCTTCACTTTTCTTGGGAGTCGCATCATCTTTGGTGGCCTGGTATGTGACGAAACCTCAGCACGGATACAGAAGGCTCTACTGGCTTTTGCCACCTTATAGGCGTAGGCAAGGTATCTGTCTACTAACCAAAGGTTTGACTGCACAGCGGTTCGCTCCATCCTACTTTATGGTTGTAAAACATCGCCGTGAAGAGTAGAGGATATTCGTAGGTTATTAATTTACGATCATAAGTGTCTTCAAAGCATTGCTTGGATATCCTGTGACATTCGACTCTATAATGCTGGGGTTAGGAAAAGGTCACTAGTTAAGGACAGTTAATCGATCAACGAGGTAGTAAATCTTCACCAGATGAGATGGTTGTAATATGTGTTATGTATGCACAACCACCGACTACCTCGACGACCTGTATTTTGTGTTCTAGGAGTAGGTTATAAGAAAGCTAAGGAAGGCCAGACAACACATGACACCAGTCCTTGGCCCTACAATTTCATCCCTCTCTGTCAAAGAGCTATGGCAACTAGAACTGAACCAAGAACTTTGTGAGCAGTGTCTAGTAATGGCATTCATGCCACCCATAAACAACCAGTTAGTGGTCTGTTATAGTCTTAACTACTTCTAAGATGTATTCTCACGCATTTTTAGGTGAGTTCAAATATGATAAAGAGGTAGTTTCTGGAATCAAAACGTACCCATATCCTGTGAATGTGTTTCAGTAACTGTTGACTCGCTACATATTGGTGGTTTTTTATGTTTTCTTGGCATTCCTGTCTGTTTAAATGCCTAGGAATTTATATGTTTCCAAGATGATACTGATAGGTAAATTATGTTGTTTACAGTGTCGGTGGCTTAACTGTTATTTACGAAACTCTGATCAGTATTAGAACCTCTTTCTAATGACTGATTATGTTATACTTAATTACTGGTTGAACAAGGTACTTAAGCGAACAAACCAAAATTCAGAGAATTTTAAACAGTTATTGACCTATCATATCCTAATTATATATTCTTATATCATTTCTTCCACTTTGATAATCGGTTTATTTTGCCTTTTTTAAGTATGAAACTAATAGACACTTGCACTCATTTCATGAAAGAACAATAAAAGTGTTTATTTAAATAAATGGCACTAATTCGGAAATGTTCATTTCTTCATTGCCTTGAAAAACAGTCAAAGATAAGTAATTCTGTCTTAGCTGATTTTGGAAAACTGGATTCTGATTTATTGTGTCTGGCGTACTTTTTTCCTCAAGGTTTTTTGAACATATATTGAGTCATGGGTGACAATCGATAGAATGTTGCATATTAGGGTAAGCAAAACTGCCCAGTTTTCTGGTTCATCTACAAATCCCTGTCTATGTTAAAGAAATCCGCTTATCGGTAAGGAGAAAGGCGCTAGCATAATTTTAATAATACTGTAAATCTATGTGTCAGCTTCTATCCATGTTATAGACTGTTTAGAAAGTGTTCATAAAAGCTTAACAAAATCCAGGAGTTTATATGAGTTATCAGGAGTATCAATTTCTTTATTAAATGAGAAATTATTTGGTCAACATAAAAATGCTTAAGTTGTATAAGTTTAACATATTTATTTTTATTTCAATAAATATGGAGAAGCATGTTATCAAATTATTGGAATATATAAATTAAGCTATTTGAAATGCTCTTGTTTATTTTGTCGATTTAAAATCTTGTTGTATAGTTGTTTATTGTCAGAAAACAAGGAATGACTCATTACTAATTTTCACTGAGCAAAGCTTTTATAAATTTGACTTAAATTGAACTTTTGACAATTTTTAACTTTCGTCTGTTTGATTTATATTTTTGTGCATTAGATGGAAATTGTCTAGCTTCATAATTTATCAGTAATAATAATAATAATAATAACCACAATGATGGTAATAATTTGTTCTCATTCATTAGATACAATACCTACTCTACCAGATCGTGTACAACGTAGACAACATGCTGCTCAGAAAATGTTGCGCCACTCTGTTAAAGTAATTTTTATTTGCTTTTATTTTCAATAAACGTACGCTAAATTATACACCATAACTTTCACATTACATTGTTTTAAAAATATATTTGATCATACAAAATATAGTTATGACAGCAACTTCCATGTTGTTAGTATCATTTCATTTGTTAAATTTATTTGTATTAGTTGTTTCCATCTTCTCATTGATGTGTAAGATTGCAATCGATTAGTTTCTTTTAGCGTATATATATCCGATGTAGATTGTCTCCATAATGACATTAAGCCACAAGCATTTCAAGCTGAGATGGACGATGGCTAACAATGTAGTCTACGACGTATATTTCCTTCCACATCTCAGAGTTGATGTTCACTCTGGAACATTCCAGCACAAACTAATGGCGGGTTAGATAGCGCACTGGCGTTTGAAGCGAAAAGTATTAGATTGAAATTTCAGAGTGAACATCAACTCTAGGACGCAGTTGTATCCAGTTGATGAGTCCTGAATAGGATGAAATGCATGTTGTGTATCCTACTGTTAATCATCATGATTATTTGGAATTTTTTTTAAACAAATTCTGATTTATTTTTTTCCCTTGGAATTCAATAGATAATTATTTGAAATAATCTCAATGATCACATTTATCATCTTAGTCAAATTACAATAAATCACGACCAACTAAGCATTAAATGGGCTTATTTTTGTTATATTCCAAGCTAATATTTTCATTTTCAAATCCATGCTAAATGAGATATGTCTAGTTCTCTTAATCATTTTTTCATTATATCATTATCTGAATTATCAGCTAACACTTTCTTAATGTGTACAATAAATTTGATTATATAATTTTTTCAAAGTAATTTGTATTCAGTTAATTTTTTTTAAAAAATGAACAACATAATTCGAAATGGAAATTTTCATTGAATTTTTTTGTCACTATTCACCACAGTTCATATAGGAATTAGATTGTAAGTGTACTCAAACTAAAGATAAATATTTTTGATCGATTGGTCTATAAATTATATTAGGTAAAAAAAAGGTATTAACCAGTTGGTTATTACCATAGATGATAAAAATTTCTTAGAATAATTGATTTTCGAATATATGTCAATTTTAAGTAGAATTTTAAATGATAATATAATATAGTTTAATATTATTCAATTAAAGACTGAATGTATTGCATACGTTTTTTTCTCAGAATAAATGAATAAATCTATTCAATTGATTATGTAATGTTACATGAATTATATAAATGTTCAATTGATTACAGATTTTGTTTGATCAACAATGTACTGTTTTATATTATTCATTTCATTCTGTTTGTAGACTGCGAATCAAAGACATTTAGCTTGTGTATCTAAATTTGCTATAGTTAGTAATCGTATAGCGAAATGGTGTAGACCACCAACTGCAAATCAACAATGTCGTTTTCGTGATCCTACAACAACAACTTGGGAAAAACATTGTACAAATTCATGTGTCCCTTTATTACCTGTATGCTCTTATCATTTAGTTCAAATACGACCTGCACCAGACTACATTATGAATTCATCATCGAATAAACAACAAATATCAAGTGATGAATTGAATTCAACTAATTACGATGAACAGGTTAATGTTAAATCTGAAATGTCAACAATTGAATGTGATGTAAATAATAATAATAATACGGTTGATGTCAAATCATCAATTATATCACCAAATACAACCATTTTAAATAATCGTAGTCGTAATTCATCATCATGTAGTGAATTCTCTACATTAAATTTTGATAAACCAATAAAATTTGATGATCATAACGTGAAGTCACAATCTTCACGTTTAAATCGTTGTAGCAAAGGATATTTTGATCAAACTAGTGTTATTAATCCCATTTCTCCAACTGTACAAATTTCACCACAAGTAAGTAAGCTTTAATTTGTTTGAATATTGGATTTGAACCTAAGTCGAAATCTAAATAAATAGTTTCAAAAAAGTTACGCATTGATTATATTTGATGCATTCAATTTAAAAATGTAAACTTGTAATTGTTTAGTCGATTCAGTGATTCCAACTTTTCGTTCACCAATCTAGTCTGAGTTTTTTCAAGTTACCAGACTTTATGAGTATAGCTGAGGTCACATTAATAAGTTTGTGCTAATTAGTTAACCAGTTACAATTAGATACCGAGTTTGTTTTATGAATATGAGTCAATTTAGCATTCAATATAGCGTTGTGTATGTTGTTTTTCCTCATCGCCTTGCATAACAACACAAACATGTTTGAAGTAGAATTCTCTCATTAATTGTAAGACTTCGTTTCAGAACTGGTTTGCCTAAACGCCTGAATGATACGGAACAAGGTTGTTAACAACTCTGACTACTTCACATATAACCCCTAGATGCTCTGGTACTATCAAGAGTATGGAGAGTCCGCTCTCCCTTTTGAAATGCTCTCTTATGGCTATCTGTTTATATCCACTGAGTGCATAAACCAAGTTGGTGAGTACAGAGGTTTATCCAAGCAGGAGGAAAACAAGATTCTAAACTATTTGTGCACATTGGCTCCAGGATCCTGATGGAACAAATAGCGTATGAACCTACTTTTGATCACCGCCTTCGTAACGTTGCTCCAATACCCTGTGGTAACACCTGTCGGTTAATGGTCCGGGGAGTGTCTCTGTAAGACAAACACATGTTTAAGTTTGGGCAAACTAAAGAGTATCTCATCCCACATACGAATGCAATGATTTGTGTGGCAAATATATATATACTGATGTCCCTTTGTACCAACGTATTTAATATATATATATATAGTTTCTATCACGAATGTAATGAAATTGGTTTGCTAATGTTTCATTTGAGTATTCTAGAGATCTGGCAATAACACTCATCTCTTATTTGATTTTTATATCCAGAATTATCCTAGTTACTGAGGTACTCGAAATTTCACAATGAGGCTACGGGTGCGAACCGTATTTCGTTTAGTGTTCTTTAAGCAGCTGAGTCATGTCACTAACCTAAACATTAAATCTATGTATAGGATTCGTCGATTGTTCAGTGAACTGCAGGGATTTCTCAGTATAGCATTATTCTATGTTTATCAGCTTTCATTAAAGCACCCTAAACAGTTACACACTAAATATTAGTTTCGATTGTACTTTGACGTTAAGCTATCTAACTTTAAATCTTAGAAATAGTGTAAATTTTTCTGGATTTATTGATATACCTGATGAATTTCGTCACATCAGGAAAGCTAAGATATCTAACAGTAAACATATTTATACTTATCATTTATTTGTGATTATTTCTTATTTGCGTTTTCTCATCCACTTGTGTTTTCTTGTCTATTTACTTAGTATTTATTCCGTCGCTGTGGAGGCGGACCATCTCAAAATTGTCCGGAACCGGTCATTGCATGGAATCCTTTTATTCGTTGTATATACCATTCAACCATCACATCAGTTTGTACTAGCACATCTTCTATAGATTTAAAGGCTACTGCAAAAGATATTTTATCATAAGGATTTCGGATTATTAGCCTAAAGGATGTTTTTTTTCAAACTGATACTAATAACTTTATTTGCTTGTAAATATGGTATCTTTCTTCATTATTCCTTTTTTTTTATCAGGTGTTTTATCATTTGTATGTTGTAAAAAATACAAATATGCTTCATCCATTTTTGTTTTTGCATGCTCATGTCTCAAAATTTTACTAAACTTTTCCAAAACAGTCAAAAATAATAAATTTCCCACTTTTCAAAGTGTATGTATGCATGCTCTTTTAGATGAATGGTGCAGGTGTTTTCATTGTAAGTGCACTACGTAGTCCTATTGGTCGGATGTCTGGTTGTTTATCAGGTTTATCAGCTCATCAATTAGGCGGTCAGGTGATCTCCTCTGTATTAGACAATGTTGTGGAAAATTCAATGAATCCAAAAGAATTAAAAAATCACATTTTGGAACATTTGGAAGAAGTGATTCTTGGTCAAGTATTGACAACATCGACTGGACAGAATCCTGCTAGACAAGCTGCTATATTGGCAGGTATATTTCGTTAATTTTAGAAATATAATTGTTTTTCAGCTTTAAATAAGTAAAAAGTCCTTGTCCAGTAATAAATTTATGTACCAGACCGAACAATATGCTTGTCAAGATTAAAGATAAGATTTACTCTTAGAACTGGAACTAAGGAAAGTCACTCAAAAGCACTATTTATCTATCAAACTATTGTTCCGGACTACTGCAATTACTACAATATCCCATACATTTTTTGTTACTCATCACATTTACAGGACCTAGGAAATAGGAATTCCATCATATTCAAAATGATGAATGAAAACATATTAAGAGATCTATAGGAATTCTGTCAAAGTTTTTTTGTATATTTCAACAGGTAAGTTGACTTTTGAAAGTATGTGTTTGTTTGAACAGAGTAAAAACAACAGTCAAGGCAGATTAATTTGAATTCTAATTCATTCTAATGCAATTGTTGTTTTGGCTTAATTGACATTTTATATAGGGTTGTTTCTCAGCCAGTAGTCAATTCGTTCTCTTTCTGCTTCAAATTGTATCCTAACCCTCTCTCTCACTCTATAATATATCATATTTTTTAATTGTACGCAAGTGAATAATGTTGGTCAGTATATATACATTTTTAACACTTTTTAGGAATTCCTTATTGTGTACCTGCCTGGAGTGTGAACATGGTGTGTGGATCCGGTTTGAAATCTATATGTTTAGGTTTTGATCGGTTAAGTCTTCCTTCCTCGGTGGATGGGGGCTGGATAATAGCTGGTGGACAAGAATCAATGAGTCAGGCACCACATGCAACTCCTCCTAGAGCATGCTTACGTCGTGCAGGGGGTCAAAATACTTCAGAACTTCCGAATTTTGGCAGTTTCACCTTATTGGATACAATTATGAATGATGCCTTGATGGATGCATTCTGTAATCTCCCTATGGGTGGGACTGCTGAAAATGTCGCAAAAAGGTTAATAATATTTTTATTTCTTACTTTCAGTTGTTTAATTGTCAAATAGTGTAAGTAAACAATTCAATCTAGCGTTATAACTTTGTTAATTATGTACTACATTATGAGTTATGTAGATTCAGTCAGTCAGCAACAGTGTAGAACTTTGTACGGACGTACATCAGTTCAAGTTGCTATAACGTATGAGCACAGCCATGCAGTTGTCAGTTCAAATCCCATAGTAGTAGAGGTAGTAGAAGTATGAGCAGTTGTCGGAAAGATAAGGGTTTGAAGATGTTCAAGGAGTATAATCTAGTGAAATAAATTTGAGAAGGGAAAGATGAAGGTCATGAGCAATTTAGATGGTTAGAATTTGAAAGAAGATAAACAATGGATGCACCAGCGCCATTGCAAACGATTTCGAGATATCATTCAAAGTCTCCGACCATCGGTTAGTATTGTCTTGCGGACCCCAACCAGGTAGTCTACATCTACCAACTTGACTCAGTCCACTTGTCAGTGACTTCATGGATTTCTGACATGTTTTGCTTTGGCCGCCCTTAGCTTTCTTCCAACCTACAGCTATACCACAAAACACTGCTCATTGAGGCAGTCGGTGGTTTGGCATTCGTAACACATGTCGCAATCACCTCAACTGTTGGAGTCTCACTACTTCATCTATTGGTTTTCCATCCGTACCTAGTTCCGTTTTCCTATCGACAGCATTACTTACTCGGTTGTCCCGTGATACACGGGCAATGCTTCGAAAACACCGAAAATCGAATACGAATGCCTCTTATGATAAATTTAAAAATTTTACTTCATTAATTTGTACTCTCAGTACAATTATTATCACTACTACTGATAAAAGACTAAATAATACGTTCATTTTTTCACATATGTTATTTAGTTCAGATGATTCAATTTCTTGAAGGTTTCTAAAAATCACACATGAGATAATACTAAAATATATTTTGATGTACTCAGTGATTCCCTCTCTCTCTCTATTTATTATCTCTTTGAATTACCTTATAATTATTATTTTTGTTGAACTTATCTATGATTAATTGAAAGATATGGAATTAGTCGCGAAGAGCAAGATTTGTTTGCTTTAAGATCACAAGAAAAATATGCAGCTGCTCTGAAAGCTGGTCATTTTGTCAATGAAATAACACCAATTAAAGTGAGTTTAATAAAAATAATATCATATTATGGATATATATGATTAAAGGAAATTGTTTTCCGAAAAAAATCACATCAAACTTTACCGTTACTAATAAATTTGAATTATATTATTCTTCAACTAATGATTACTTATTCAAATAATTGTTGTCATGTTAACTTTACATCATTTGAAACTGAGAAATTCACAATCAAAATAAGTATAAATAAAAAATTGATTTAAATAAGGGATCAAATCAAATATTTTATTTTTAAAAAATTGCTATTAAAAAATTAACTCTTAGCATTAACAACAGAAAAATTCAGATATAAATAAATGATAAAATATTTCCATTGTTTAAGCCAGTGATTATTAGCACATTGGTTGTTTTAAAGCACAATGTACTGATTTCAAATGTCTATGTGGAAATTAACACTAGGATGCAAACACATCCACTTAACTCGCGTCGTAAATAGAATGCAACGTGCGTCATGTACTACTTCACTTCTAGCCATTATCCATCTTTAATTAGATTATTCTATTACCTAAATAAAATACTTTTCGCTTGGGTTCCGCCTGTTTATTGTAACCTATAGTTAGAGACTTTAAGTGATCAACTTTTCATTAGTTGCACCACCTCTAAATTTTTATCATGATTATTGTTTTTCTTAAGATTAAATATTGTAGTTAATTACTTAATAATGAATATATATTTATATACATATTGTGTGTGTGTTCTTGTTAGGTTCCATCTATTGGTAAAGAAGAACCAAGAATTATTACAACAGATGAGCATCCACGTCCAGATACTACTCTAGCTAAATTGTCAAAATTACGACCAGCATTTCATGAAGATGCAAATCATGGTACAGTTACAGCGGGTAATGCAAGTGGCGTAAATGATGGTGCAGCGATCGTATTACTTTGTCGTGGTGATCAACTATCAAAACTCGGTAGATTAACTTGTTGAAAATGTTAATTGTAAACCAGTTTAATAATTCTTGTAACTTATCGATCTTTTTTATGATCATGATTATGTACATAAGTTTTTTATCCATAGGCTGCTTCCTAACAAAAATTCCAGCCTACGAAATGATGCTTGTAAATCCATAATTTGTTATTGAAATGTTGAAACCTTTATATTCAAACAATGTCATTGTATGTTGTTCAATGAATAACATTGGTGAGCTTTATTATTATTGAATTTCAGGATTTTTTTAAAACTAGCAATGGTCTACCATGTTATTGTTATAGAAATAATATATTACCAAATAGAAAAGGTCATTGGTTTTAAAGTACTAGAAGATCGATTATCTGTTTCAAACAACTAATTATAAGTGTTTCTGACAGGTTCTTCGTATACAGTGTTTAAACTTGTGAAGATAAAATACCTCAGTTGAAATCTACAACTTCAAATGTAAATTATTTTGAGTCTCTCAGTGAATACATTGAGACTAGATTATTAGACCCAAGTTTTACTAATGAGTATTGTTGATTGTAATTATGATTGAATTATAAATCATGATACTTGTAAAAAGTTCTGAGATTAGCTTCCTAATTCAATATTACCAACTTTGCCAGTTAATACATAATGTTTTCATGATAATATTATGTTCATATAATTAAATACAAGAGTTTACGCATATCGTTTGATATGTAATTGTAATATCATAGGATGTTACTACTATCAGTTAAACTATACTTTGGACTAAAATTAAATGCAATAATTTTCTTGCAACTTTCTTTATTCGTTTTTGATGAAAATGTTATTAGTTTTTTTTCTTAAAAGTATGTTTTTTTATGGATCCAACATCGTTATTTCTACATAATCCATTTAATTCTTAATCATCATTAACACTAAATATCAATCAGCTTAGTTCCGATGATAGGTTTTTTTGTAATGTAAACCTTAATCAGTGTATCACGATAGCATAACGAATAATCTGGATTTACTAAATTGTCCTCATTTCTGTTTAGTCATTAGACATAACAACTTATCGGGAACTACTCAATCACACTTGTTAACATTAACTATCTTGTTCATGTTTTGTTTCACAGGTGATCGTCGTCCTCTGGCTCGCATTGTAGGTTGGCATCAAGCTGGTCTCGAACCGGAACTGATGGGTCTCGGTCCTATATACGCTATTCGAGGACTATTATCTAAAATTGGTTGGAAGATAGAATCTGTCGACTTATTTGAAATCAATGAAGCTTTTGCGTCTCAATGTATAGCTGTAAATGGTTTTTCTTATCAAAAAAATTTAGTCTACAGCTTAATTTGTGTAGAAATAGTATATCTTTATTTTTGTTTACTGCATTTATGACTTGATTTATATAGGCTTTGTTTTACTACGAACATTGGAGTATACCATCAGCCCTAATCTTACAGTAAGGTGATGAAATTTCAAATTATATTAAGCAGGTAATTAGTCGCTGGAGTGCGAATAAGCATATATGATTAATCTCAAATTAAATGGAATGCACTTGATATTCAGGTTAATGTTTGTTTATTCAACTTATTGGTGAGATGAATATCTAATATATAAGTCTCATTACTATAAGGAGTTTGTGAAGATTGTTTAATACCATAGTTTATATTACAGACTAATTTCTGCGAACATCGTACAACGATAATAATATGCTCGCTTCTGAAGAGTTGGTTGGGACATGTGTTACTTTTGGCCAAACACTAACTGCCCCCGACGAGCGATATTTTCTAATGTAGGGGTAGACTGTAATAAATCTAAGAATGGCCGAACCAAACTATGACACAAATCCACTGGCAAGTAGACTAAGTCATGTTGATAGATGTAAACTACCTGGTTGGGGTCCGCGAGACAGTAGTTACCGATGGTTAGAGACTTTGAATAGCATAGCTAGAAATCGTTTGCAATGGCGCAGGTGCATTCATTCTTTGTGTTTTCTCAAATCCTAACCTTCTAAATTCCTCATCACCTTTCTCTCTCTACTTTTAAGTTTGTTTCACTGAATTATACTTCTTCAATAATATCTTCGAACCCTAATATTTTCCACTACCGCTAATACTTCTACTACGTCTACCACTATGTTATTTGAATTGTCAATCGCATCTCTGTGCTAATGTGCTATGGTGACTTGAACTGATGTATGTACGTACGTACAAAGTTCTACGTTGTAACTGACTGACTAATCGCTACTAAATGATTTTGAAAGGTTGTTCTCATAATTCTAGTTAAATCTGTGATTGATGGAGTTCAGCCACGTTGAATGTGAGCAAGTAACTTACCGATTCTGTTCGAAAATGGTTGCGAAATATTGTAAGTTAATTTAGGTTAAAATGTAAACTAAACTGTTGGATTTCGGCCTAATTGTTTAGAAGTTAAATTTGCTTCAAACTTCAACGCATTGTCCACCAATTTCTGGATTTAATTGCTAACTGTGATCCATTTATTAAGCAAAAGAATCCTTGTGACTAAATGACTACATCGAAGCCTTTCCCATATATGCTAACAAAAACTGATTAAAATTTGGTCTTAAAATTGATTATTCAAACCTAATGCTCATGATTATCTACTTCTGTACAATATTTCATTTCTCCTTTTCTATAATGACGAGGAAAAGAATTTTCTTTATTATTCCACACATTATTTTTTTTCTAGATAGCTACTGAATTGTGTATATTACCAGAGAAATTGAATATATCTGGTGGTGCAATTGCATTAGGTCATCCAGTTGGATGTAGTGGTGCTCGTATACTGGTTACATTAGTGCATACATTACAACGACTGTGTAAAGATCATATGGATGGTGGTGATCATTCATCTGTTGTTCGACGAGGTGTAGCTGCTTTGTGCATAGGCGGTGGTATGGGTATTGCCATCGCTGTGGAAACATGTGTTTAAGAATGATAATGAACTGGAAAACTTTGAATTATCTTCCTCATAATTCCGATTTTTGTGATATGCACCAATGTTCTTGCCATTTTATTGTGATTTTTTTAAAAATCATCTAATGAATAGAAAAAAACCACAATTCAATAAAAATCACTTGCAAATGTGCCTTTTTTTCCTTTTCTTCTTGCTCTATTGAGAGATTTTCTTGTTGATTTTAAGCGACAAATTAATGTATCTATTCACTGAGTATTTTGCTCTGTGATTATATCTGATATCGAATGGTAATTAAAATAATACAAGTAAATTGAATCACATTATTGTTCTTACTGTTGTTTCATTATCAATTTGTTTACATTTTGTTGTTGGCATTGATTGTGTGTATCGGGGGTGTATGCTACTATTTTCGCTGTTTGGTTTTTCTTCATTACTAACTTATAACGCTGAACTGTAAGCATTTTCCCTGTCGTGGATCGATACGAAGTTGTCAATCACTCTATCTATCCCACTTTAAGTTGGTTTATTTTCCTTCTGAGTCATAATCAGTCAGTTACGGTCAATTAGTTTGAATCCTAACAAATATCCATTGACCCAAGTTACTACATTTCATGTAACATGATAAGGTGAATAGCGAAAGAGACCAGAATAATCTAGTAGTGATGCTATTTAGAGATATGTTGAACAGTAAAAAAAATTTCCTAATGTATAATGAAATTCATGATTCAGAACAAAATCAATAATGTATTTATCTGTACCACTGTCACTAATTCGAAACCATCTTAATTAACGTCGAAAACAACTACTCATGGCTAGTGTATATGTCTTAACAAATCCAGTCTCAGTCTACTTATTAGTGTCAGACTGATAATTTCGTATTTGTTTTTTTTTTTGTGTGTTCACTGCTTGTTTTTTTCTACCCTACGTCTTCTGTTTACTTTATAGCATGATTATAATTACGATTTTCACTATAGATCGCTATCAGTGCTTGCTTATTAGTTGTGCTATATTCGTTGAAGATCTTACATTTTCAGCCTAACATTTTTTAAAATTTAACGAATAGTCAGCTAGTTTTTGACATTACTGTCTTACATAAGTTATTTTTTTTGGCAGAAAAGTGATAAAAGTGGTTCTAACTTCAACTCGAAAATTAAAAATCAGATTTTAAGCATGGATAATTAGGAAACAAGTATTTGAATCTGTAACTTAGTATATTAGTGTATCTTTTAATACTTTAATATGAAATCCAGTGTTTTGTGTTCCTAGCAATAAATCTTTATATTTGTTACAAAATTTCACAGTATAATCTCTTCACAGAAAAAGAAACAAAACTAATATTAATGTGTAAAATATAGTCGGCCAGTCGGTTTACTTTTAAGTTTATCAAATGGGAATAGTTTCTTGTATCTCTGTTTAGTAGGTAAATCCCATAAATCTCTGTTCAATTTAGCGGTAACCAGGTGACACGTAAGTTTTCGCATACTTTTATGTTACATCAATGTGTATTGCACTGATGTTTACATATGTTTACCGGTTTTATGTGGTGTTTCAGCTTCAAAAGTTAATGTTTTTGACATTTGAATCTATTTAAAATTTACCTGACAAAATATTACAAATCGCAGAACTATATATATGAATTCTAATTTATTTTTTCTATTTAAAATCATACACTTAGGCTAAAGAAAACAATCAGTATCATAGTTATGGGAAGTGAAGAACGACCTTATAACTCGACATTTCCTTGTGTACGCATTTTTATTCAACGTGATTATTCATCTGGTACAGCAGTACGATTTCAAACTTTACCAATGCCTTCACAACTTCGTGGTCGTGTAAGTTTTCGTGATAATATTTTTTTTTCTTAGATTAATTGAGAAGAATAGATATTTTCTTATTATTTCTCCAGTTATTGAATTATTTTTTTATTAATTATAATTTATTACTTTGCTTATAGATTCCTCCTAATCGATTCGCTGATGCAATAGCTCGTTTGAATAAATTATTCGATGAAGCCGAAACCGTTAACTCTTCAGTTTGTCTAGAAAATTTGTTTGGTTGTTTAACAGCTTATCTTATATTCTTATGCATGAATACACATTATGATAAGGTGAACAAGCTTCATTCATTTGAATAGAATATATGCGTTGATTTTTAAATGTTGGTTAAATTTCAATTACTATTATGTTAAATTCTAATGTTTTCAATTTATTACATTTAACCAATGTTTAATCTGTGTGTTAACAGTAGCAGATTATTATATGCCTAATTAATGTAACTGTTGTGTGCCTTTTTTTACTGAACGCATAACACAACGTTTCCTTTATCTGTTTTTGATAATTAAACATTGAAGATAGTAGATATATGAGTATACCATGCAAAACTTCACATCACTGAAACAAAATAAAACGAGTAACACGACAAAATCTAAGTAAATGCAACTGATATCGATTGTGTTAGGGTTAGTGAACAATCTACCATTTGTCAAGAGATAATAAAAATGATGGTGGCACTTGATAGGGTTCCTTACAATCCATTAAATGTAGTAACAATTCATCTTTTTTATTTAATTGGTTTATAATGATGCAGGTTGGACAGTGATTTTCATTACAATATCAGTGAAATTAAAAAAACTCAGAACACTGTTTAAACAGCTATTACGCATTAGTTTAAAACATTTCATCACTAATCAGGGACAATTAAAAATAAAATAAAACTTGAAAATTTTTGGTATTGAAGCAAAGAAAAGTACCGCCGCTTACTCAATTCCCATTAATTTGCGATAAATTGTGATTCTGACTTAATTTTATTGATCAGTTATTGTCTCAATTTATATTTCATTGGCTGCATAGATATGAATTCCTTGCACATAATTCCATCAGAACGAAACATTAAACTGATCACTAGCATCCTCATGGCTATTATATATTGGGTAGGCTTTGATTATCGCTCTGGCTATAAAGAGGGGCATTGACCTTGTGACTTCTGAAGAAACTTGGCTTCTACCATGAAGCGTCGTAACTCTTAAATGAAGACCTAATTCGCAGGGAGAGTTTAAATGGTTTAAACTGTTTTTTCTAGTTAGCGTCTTTTAGTAAGTTTTTTTCTACGAAATGGTGTTACTAATCTCATGCTAAATCCTCCTCTTTTATCCACTCTTGGGACTAGTAGTAAACCCAAAAGGACTCCAGGCGGCAAAAGCCCCTGTGCTAGTATGCCTCGCTGTACACAAGGGAAAAGTAAGATCCTACGATATGGCGTAATACGTAGTCAGTCAGTCAGTCAGATGCAACGTAGAACTTCGTACGTACGTACATCAGTTCATGTTGCCATACCACATTAGCACGGAGACGCAACTGTCAATTCAAATCCAATAGTAGTAGAGGTAGTAAAGGTATTAGCAGTAAGCGGAGAGGTTAGAATTAGAAGATATTATTCAAGAAGTATGATTCAGTGGGAAAAGTTTACAAAGTTGAAGTATGGTTTAATGAGAAAAGTTTAGAAAGTCAAAACTAGAGGTGTTGAAGAACCCAAAAGATTAGGATTTGAGAAAACACAAAGAATAAATGCACCTGCGCCATTGCAAACAGTTTTGAGCCATGTCATTCAGGGTCTCTAACCATCGTTTACTATCATCTCACGGACACCTACCAACATGACTCAGTCCACTTGTCAGTAACTTCATGGATTTGTGCCATTTTTGGTTTGACCGCTCCTAGTTTTCTTCCAACCTACTCCTACACCACAGAACATAGCTCGTCGAGGCAGTCAGTGGTTGGTATACGCAACACATGTCCCAGCCACCTCAACTGAGGAAGTTTCAATACTCCGTCTATTGACCTGCCATCCTTAGCTAGCACCCGTTTCCTAACAACAGCATTGCTTACTCGGGTGTCCCACGATACTCGAGCAATGCTTCGGAGACACCTATGATCGAAAACCAGTAACCTACGAATATCTTCTACTCTGACAGGCCATGTTTCACAGCCCTGAAATAGGACGAAGCGAACTGCTGCGCAGTACACTCGTCCTTTAGTCAGCAAACGGATATCTCGCCTACTCCATAAGTGACGCAAATTGGCAAAAGTCAATCGAGCTTCCTGTATCCATGCTGAGATTTCGTCAGTCACTAGGCCATCAGCACTGATGAGGCTCCCAAGGTCTATACAGCCACGTCCAGGTCGAAAACCAGCTTGGTTTTCTCTAGTCTGAACTTCACAAGCTCTAGTAAGGCGTCTAAGGATAACTGACGCTAACAATTTAGAAACTATATTAGTTAGACTGATTCCTCTGTGATTGTCACAAGAAGAATTTTTGTCCTTATAAATTGGTAAGTTACACATTTTTGAAACCATGAATTGGGACAATCAGGGCTCGAGACCAGTCAGATGGAATCGCGTCTAGTTCCCACATTCTACTTAAGATCTCTGTCAATCTAGATGCTAAGACTGGACCACCATCCTTATATATCTCTGGGGTCAGTCTATCAGGACCTGCAGCTCGCCCTCGCTTCAGATTTCCTAACTCTTTCTCAACTTCATAAAGACTAGAGGGACTTACGTCGATTTGCCATTCAGGATGACTGGAGATCGTGGGTAACCGAGGAGTGGCTCGAGGCCAGTTGAACTGACCCCTAAAGTGTTCTGCCTACCGGTCCAGTCTCCTGGATTGAGAATGTATAATAAGACCATCCTTTTCCGAATTAATCTCACTCGCATTTGGGTTGTTAATACCAGTTTCCTTGATAAGTCGTAAAAGTTGTCTACTGTTGCCTATCGCCGCTGCCTTTTCCATCTCTCTCGCTTTCGTCTGCGTCTGAGCTCAATCCGCTCCTCATCGCATAACATGTACCAACTAAGTCACACTTGGTTGAGAAGCTTTGGAGGATATGGAAAAATTTGCTTACCTGGGCAGCGTATAGAAGACGATTTGATGCAGATGTGAAGACGCGGATCAGCAATCAACTTCAGTATTTTTACAATTGAACCACATCTCTCACTGACTACAAGTATCGATAAGTACCAATGGTGGAGAAAACTTGTAGCTCAGGTGGATGATTGTGGTGGTGTTTCGTTCTCTGAGCTGGTTGTTTTGGTTGTGTAGCTTTCATTGTTCTTCTGAACAACATCATCGGCACAAACTCGCTGAGGAAACGCTAACCAGAAAACTAATTTGCTGGTTGGCGTCCTACGCTCCATTAGGGGCAACAGGCGTAAGTAACTTGATAGTGTGAATAACCAAATAGTAGTCTGAGAAATCGATCGATATACTAGAAAACTGGACCATTGGTTTAAGTCATACGGTACACGATATTCAACTAACAATTCTAAAATAGATTATAGGTCAGAAAATAGCTGTATTAATATAAACATAAACAGTACACCTTGAATTCCAAGATAGAACACATTGAAATGGAAAACAATGTAAAGATAGTCATCTAAAATAATTTTCTTCATGAATATGTTTGTCTCCGCTTAGCAACCAACTACGGCCTATATTACACGCATTAATAAATCAATCATAATGAACATGACACGAAATGGTTTGGTAATGATGAATTTTTATTCTTGTTGTTATACTTCTTGATAATTTTATTATTTATCATGTTCTCTATAATCATTCATTCACATATTTTGCTTAAAATTCATGATTTATGGTGTTGTTTTTCTCTGTAATTATTCTAGGTACTACATAAAGTGACTTTAGCCGTTGCAGATTTAAATGAGAAGTTATTTTTACCGGATGAATTCCTTATGATTGATCCATCAGAACGTGGACTTAGAGTGGTATCCTTTTAATGAATTTAGTTTTTACTATTATTCATATTTATGCATAACTCTAACAGGTAATGTTAATCGTTCGAAAAGTCCTCTCTCAGAATATATATACAAGTCCACATACGTTAAGTTAATTTACTTACAAATTAATCACTTAATAAATATCGTCCCAAAATACACTGGTTCTGTCCCATTCTTCTGGTGAATTCCCTTTTTATTGTTAAATCAATCATATCAGTCCTTTTTATGACTAAATGTTTTTGATAAACGGACGAAAAAAATTTACGACTGCTGTTACGGTAGATATTCAACTGTGTAAATATTATCTTTATTTTGTGAAAGGTATTGGGATTATTTTCCAAAGAACTAATCTTATGTTCGTTTGATGAAAATCACTTGAATACATTCTGTAACTGAGTATAGTGAATGAGTCGTAATGAAAGCCTACTTCAATGTATCGAAATAAAATCGATGCTATTAATGAAATATTCACCTCCATTCTTTATCTGTGATGTTCTAGTATAGAACTACTGTATATATTTGTTACCATGGGTACGAATATATCTGTAGATATTTGTGTATTTATAACTCCAACTGTACGTAGATACGGTTGCAAAGTTTACAACTTCATCCAAATATATTTTTAAGGGTTTAGATTATCATGTTGTTGATATTTAACTAAATTTTGATTAGTCTTGGTCAGAATATGTGCACTCTATGGATTGGCTCGATATCACCATTATAACACAAGTTTACATAGAACAGATGTGATATGGATGGAGGTAGGACCCAGCTTGCGTGTTTCGCCTTATTTGGGATTCGTCAGGCGGATATGAACATGCATACTAGAGTTGGTTTTCAATCCAGCACTCAAAAGCACTCAAAATCCAGCACTCAATAGAAGATAAATGGTTATTATTAATAACCATTTATCTTCTATTGATTATCTATACATTTACAAGAATATCTGTTATTTTGAAGAGCTTTAACGTAAATTGTATCCCTGAGTTTTCTGTTGGGAGTACTCTGGGAGTACCCTCTATTTATATCTATTTAGTGATATCATTGTGGAACAATCAATTGAATGGAACTCACCACTCTACATCAACTTCATTGACTACGAGAAAGCATTCGATAGCGTGGATAGAAAAACACTATGGAGGCTTCTTCGACACTACGGTGTGCCTGAGAAAATAGTTAACATAATTTGGAATTCTTATGATGGATTCAACTGCAAAATTGTACACGATGGACAGCTAACTGACTCTTTCGAGGTGAAGACCGGTGTCAGGCAAGGTTGCTTACTCTCACCCTTTCTCTTTCTCCTGGTCATCGACTGGATTATGAAAACGTCGACGTCTGGAGGGAAGCACGGTATCAACTGGACAGTTAGGACGCAGCTGGACGATCTGGACTTCGCAGATGACTTGGCTCTTCTATCGCACACTCAACAACAAATGCAAGAGAAGACGACCAATGTTGCAGCAGCTTCTGCTGCAGTAGGTTTCAACATACATAAAGGAAAAAGTAAGATTCTACGATACAACACAAAATACGCCAAGCAAATCCCTCTTCATGGAGATGTTATGGAGGCCATTGACACCTTTACATATCTTGGCAGCATCATCGACGAGAAAGGTAGATCCGATGCAGATGTGAAGGCACGGATTGGCAAAGCAAGGGCTGCATTTCTACAGTTGAAAAATATCTGGAACTCCAAACAACTTTCAACCAAAACCAAAATTAGGATTTTCAATACAAATGTCAAGACAGTTCTACTGTATGGAGCGGAAACATGGAGAACTACCAAAGTCATCATCCAGAGGATACAAGTGTTTATTAACAGCTGTCTACGCAACTACTTCGTATTTGTTGGCCAGACACCATCAGCAACAACGTACTGTGGGAGAGAACAAACCAGATTCCAGTGGAGGAGGAAATCAGGAAGAAGTGGTGGGAGTGGATAGGACACACACTACGAAAAGCACCAAACTGCGTCACGAGACAAGCCCTTATTGGAACCCTCAAGGCAAAAGGAAAAGAGGAAGGCCAAGGAATACATTACGCCGAGAAATAGAGAAAGATATGAGAAGAATGAACAGACATTGGACAGAATTGGAGAGGGAACCTCAGGATAGAGTTGGTTGGAGAAAACTGGTGGGCGGCCTATGCTCCATTGGGGGTAACAGGCGTAATTAAGTAAGATATCATAATCCTCAGTCTAGTAAAATTCATCCTAGATAATGAAAGAGTTCTTCATATAAAATATTCAGTCAACCATTCGATCACATTAGGGAGACCTCACAAATAACCATGTGGAAATTACGTCTGAATATGTCTTTTCAATCACTTTAATATTAATAAGGACTGGTAAATTCCCTCTCTTCATATATATACTATTTTATATTTGATTAAGACTTTACTCCTTACCTGCACCTATAGATAGAGTTATGCATATTCCATTCTCAATGAAAATTGTATACAGATCTAAATGTGGAAGCATTTCTGTCGCAAAAGAATCTTCTATTCCAATGCATAATGAGTAATAAGGAGTAACAATTTGATTTCATATCCTAAATTTTGAAAAATAGGATTGTAACTTTTGCTTTTCATTAAGTTAATTGTATCATCAGTCAAATAAGCTTTTGTATTTGTTTCACTTGCAAACTGTATTATGTGCATCATCATAAACCTATAATTTATCAGTTGCAATGTGTATTATTACCAGGCAATACACATGATTTACAAACTAGAAAATTTTATGGATTTCAGTATTAGAGAAAACACTATACGGAAGCTTGAACGTTCTGAGTTTAATTGACCAATCCTAGTCAGTTACAACGTAGAACTTCGTACGTACATACATCAGTTCAGGTTTCCGTACCACATTGGCACAGAGACGCAATTGTTAATTCAAATCCCATAGTGTCAGAGATAGTGGAAATATTAGCGGTAATTGAGAAGATTAGGGTTCGAAGATATTATTCAAGAAGTATAATTCAGTGAGATAAATTCAGAAAGAGAAAGATAGAGGTGATGAAAAATTCTAATTTGAGGGGACACTAAAAATGGATGCACTTACGCCATTGCAAACGATTTTGAGCTATGTCGTACAAGGTCTCTAACCATCGTTTACTATCATCTCAAGGACCCCAACTAGGTGGCCTACATCTACTAAACACGATTCAGTCCACTTGTCAGTGAATTCATGGATTTGTGCCACGTTTTGGTTTGACCGCCCCTTGCTTTCTTCCAACCTACTCCTACACTACAAAACAGAGATTGATGAGATTGTCGGTGGGTAGGCATTCGTAAGGTATACACACTCAATTTTGTTGTATAGTTAGCGAATAAAATGAATGTTTCGAAAAACAGAGTCACACTAAAAACCAAGTATGGTGTATTTGCTTCAGATTAGATAATGGAATTATTTCTTTTATAACAAATCTCACAATGGAACTTTATGAACGGACAAAGTCTTGTCGCACCAAGTGATAAATTTAATCACACTGACTACTACTCGATTACTTAGATTTCATCTTACTGGTGGTCAATCAGCATCTCATTTCATCTTTAATTTGATAACCTATTACAAATAGATACCGTCGACAAATATGATGGACACCTCCACTGATTAACCTCATGAACATATTATAACACACAAGTCCATCGTTCCAGGCTGCCTCAAGGTGGGCATCGCTCACTACACGGCTGCCTAACAGTTATGCTGACTGTTCCTGAAATATATTCTTAGCTATGCTGTCATTAGGTAGAGGTTTATTTGCGATATTTTTCCTACGTCCAGTAAGCCGCAAACGAATACGCACTCCACTAAAAACATGGTCTGAATATAAACAATGCTCCAGAATCAGCGGCAGTTTCAGTGGAGCCTCTGTGTAATGAGAACTCGCGGTTTTTTATTATTATTCCATCACCTAGTAATTTAAAATGCTTACAAGTGTTTGAGTACAGTATTAGTTACATACATATCTATAATTTATATTATCGACATATGCACTGAGCTAGGTTTATGGCTGAAAAATCGAATCAGGCGTGAAATTTCGACGGGAAAATGTAGTTGTCCATAAGTGAGTACGTTAGTACATTGGGAATAATTAAACTTAAAAATCTCATCGTAAAGTATGATCACTATTTTACTACTTAGAGATACTTTCTCAACGGCGAATGACACCAGTTCAAAAAGCAGGACTACTGAATATTTGTATCATCCTAGCTGTGAACTCTTTTTTAAGAGTCCACGCGCGTTTTCTGTGCGTTCGGACTACAAACATTTAGTACAAGCCTTTAAATCACAATACACGCTTGTTTGTAATAGTTTCCGAGCTTATGCGAAATTAATTTATCGGATTCAAAAAACACATAACTAGCAATATCATCAATAAATTAGGCGTAATGTTTGAAAGTAGACAAATGATTTACGGATGTTTATGTCTGTTGAGAAGTTTAACAGGAAACAAGTGCAACGACGAGCCGAATTTCGAAAACCGTAAGAACCATCTGAGTATATTATCTTTTGATTATTTGTCCAAAGTTCGTTATAAAACTTTCGAGGTAAAGACTGAACGACGTCGCTGTCTATCTTAGGTTGTACTGGAGAAAACAGTAACTAATTTACGAGTGCAGTTCCACATACGAATGTGGATTGAGAAATGTAATGCTATGAAAGTTGTAGATTACATGAAGATGGCTTCCTGTCACTGACCCTAACCGTATCATAGTTTAATTGCACAACAAAGTAAAGAAACGCAGATATGGCATGCCAGACACAATCTGAATAATATAACATGGAGTGGGATTACAAATCCATAATCAGTTGCATTTCATTAAATGAATTAGTGAGTATCAGGCGGTCGATTGACGCAAGATGCGTCCATTATTTACTTTTTTTAATCATTTTTAAAATCGATTTCACTGAATAATACTTAATGAACAATTTCTTCGAACCCTAATCTTCCGTATTACCGCTAATACTTCTACTATCTCTGCAACTATAGGATTTGAACTAACAATTGCAGCGCTGCTGCTGTGGTATGGCAACTTCAACTGATATACGCACGCATTATTCAAGAAGTATAATCCAGTTACATAAATTTTGAAAGATAAAGGTGATGATGAATTCAGATTAGGACTTGGTAGAACACAAAGAATGGACGGACCTGGTCCACACAAAACGATTTATAGCCACGTCATCCAAGGTCACTAAACACCGGCTGCTATTGTCCCGTGGACCCCAACCAGGTTGTCTACACCTACATACATGGCTGTTCTTTTATCAACGAATTGATAGATTTGTGCCACGTTTCAGTTCGAGCGCCCCTTGCTTTCTTCCGACATACTCCTACACCACAAAACATTGCTCATCGTGGCATCTCAACTGTTGAAGTTTCACTACTTCATCTATTGATTGGCTATCCCCATACCTATCGACATGACTCAGTCCTCTTGTCAGTGATTCCATGCATCGGGTCCATGTTTTGGTTTGGTCACCCCTACTTTTCTTCCAGCATACCCCTACACCTTAAAACATTGCTCGTCCAGACAGTCGGTGGTTTGGCATACGTAATACATGTCGCAACCATCTCGACCGATCAATTTTTTGTACTTTATCTCAGCATTACGCACCCGATTATCCCAGGATATTTGAGAAATGCTTCAAGGACATGTATGACCGGTTACTAGAGACTTCCGAATATCATTCACGCCTTCTAGCCATGTTTCACACCCATAGAGTAGGACGAAGCGAACTGCTGCCTAATGGACTCGTCGTTTGGTTAGCGAACGGATATTCCTCCTACACAAGTGACGCAAGTTGGCAAAGGCTAATCGAGCCTTCTGTATCTGTGCTGAGATTTCGTCACATCAGAACTGATGAAGCGGTCGACATGCCCAACTGCTTCACTACCTAGCTCCAGTTCACGCGCCGATGCAAGCAATTCATGAAGCCACATTTCGCATTTCGACGGGGAGAATAGCAGCCCGCACATGCGTTGTTGATTAAGGTGGTTAGAAAACTCAATGTTTTGTCAACACCTTCACCAAATAGAATTGTCATCGGCATATTCTAGGTCGAAAAGTGAATCTCCCGATAAAAACTTAACTTCCGAAAAAACAGACGATGGGTGTCGTAATTAAAAACATGTCAATAACGAAGTCCAGTACGAATGGAGGAAGTGGTCAACCCTGACGAACACTACTTGAAGTAATCAGTTTCGACGGCAGTTAGCCACAGGCTTCCGCTCGACAACAGTGTTCGCACAGAGGGCCTGTAGAAAGTTAATGTACTTCTTTGGTACACTATGAAATTTTCGCCAGAATAATCCAGCTGTATAGTGAGTATTGGTTTTGTATTTAATGGGCGGAGGATTCTCCTTTGATTGATAGGACAGTATGGATGACGCAAATGGATATCCTGTGTGACAACTACTTGAAGACCGGGAATAAGTGAAAGTTTAAGTTCATAAAAACGAAAATCTGAGAATGTGTTTAATTAATAATTAGAATGAGATCTACATTGAACCTTACGTCGAGCCAATTTGTCTTTAACACAGGTGCAGAAGTGAATGCAGACAAACCACTTAAGGCTGGTGGATTTCAATGAACAATAACTACGAGTACTTCAATTATATTTCTACAAAATTTTGGTTTCTGTAGAATAAAAAGCAACTAGTTGTGTAATTGGCAGTTTATGGCAGCGTTTCATTCTTTCTCTTGCAAAGATTTTTTCCTTCTTGCCTTGATTCGCCAAATTGCGACGCCCAGAAATATGAGTGCCCAATTGGCTTTCACTATCTGAAAACAAATAAAACATGTGATATCAATTAGTTTTCAAAACAAGGACTGAATTGAGATATATAGGTTTAACCCAGTGATGGTCGTTCAGAGGTATTGACTTTCTAAACTTTTCTCATTAAACCATACTTCTCGAATAATATCTTTTAATTCTAGCCTCTCCAATTACTCCTAATACCTTTACTACCTCTACTACTATTGGATTTGAATTGACAATTACATCTCTGAGCTGATGTGGTATGGCGACATGAACTGATGTACTTACGTACGAAGTTCTACGTTGCATCTGACTGACTGACTTGTGCAAAAGCTTTTTTCGTCTCTGAAAATGCAGTACGCCAGGCATCGTTCAATTTTAATTTACGTGGACTACCGCGAAGTATGTCGGTTGATGGTCGTAACTGTTCTGCCGCGTGAGAAATGAAACGCCGGTAGAAGTTAACCAAACCGAGAAAAGCCTTCAGTTCCTTGAGTGAGGACGGTACAGTGTACTTGATGATCGTGTGTACTTTGTTTTCACCAGGTAGAATACTCTCTTGTTAAATGATGTGACCCAAGAATTTTTTTTCTGCCCTGCCCAGTTCACACTTGTATGGGTTAACTACTATTTAATAATCCGAAAGGCGTTGGAATAAGTGTGTTAGACGTTGATAATGTTCATCTACGTTTGATGATGCGATTAGCAGATCAGCAATAAAGACATGGACAAAAGCGAAGTCTCGTACTATGCTATCAATAAACCTTTGGAAAGTTTGAGCAGCATCCCGTAATCCAAATGGCATTCGTAGGAACTCAAACAGACCGAAAGTCGTCGTGATAGCAGTTTCCTCGATGTTTTCAAGAGCGACTGGGATCTGATGATATGCTCGTGCCAGATCAACCTTAGAATAGATTAGTCGTGCCCTTAAGAGGTGCCGTGATGTCATGTATGTTGGGGACGGGATA